GGGGGAATGCACGCCCACATGAGCTTGCATCGGCCAGCCATTTCTGCAGCCTGCTGGCCAGGAGCCTGCAGCCCGGTCCCAGGCCGTGGCCCATAGTTTGGGGACTCCTGTGCTAATGTAATCAGGGAGAGGCGGTCCCTCAGTCCATGCCATGAAGAGCTTTAAAGATTAAAACCAGCTCCTTGAATTGGATGTGGGAATAAACTGGCAATCAATGCAGCTTGTGAGGCAGAGATATAGCATGCACTGTTCTAGGCATGCAGATACCTCCTTTCTCACTATCAGCTTGAGGTTTCCAGGCATTTTTCTGTATCTATTTTATGTCCATCAGTTATAAGACTAAGTTATTGGAAAATAGTCTGCCTCCCTATTTCTCTCCAACTTGTTTCAAAATCTGGCCTCCTGCTGTCCTATATTCCTCACCCACATAGCAATACAGATCCAAGCACGAGAATTGCAACTGCAGCTGAAAATAATCAAATGCAACTCACTCACTCATTCTTGAACTTCTTTGGGCCACAATTTAGGTTTGTGGCCCAAAGGTCCATATTTTATGCCAGGAAGGCCTTTAAAGATCAAAAACAGCACCTTGGATTTTACCCAGAACTAAATTGGCAACCGATGCAGCACTCAGAGTAGAGATGTAATATGTATTTTTCTAGGGCCATACATAACTCTCTGCACAGTCACATTTCGCACCAGCTGAAGCTTCCAAATTTATTTATGTTTCATACTTAACAGCCCATTCCCCTCAGATGCTTTTCAAGGGATGCCCCATATACAGCACATTACAGTAGTCCATTGTGGAGATAACCAGGCATAAATGACTGAAAGTAGAGCCTCACTATCCAGGAAAGGGTACAATTGGCACATAACAGGAAACTGTGCAAAGGCCCTCCTAGCTAGGACCGCTCCTCCAGCAGGAGTCCCGAGTCTAAAAGGACTCCCAGATTGCACATCAGGTCTGCCTGGAGCAGTGCTACTGATCCAGTACCAAATATGGAACCAGATGCACGCCCCCCCCGCCAAACAACAACACCACTCTGTCTTGCCAGGGTTCAGTTGAAGCCATCTAAAACCCTACAACCTCCATGCACAGGGACAGTACTTCAACAGCATCACATAATTTGTTATTTAGTTATTTTTGTGTTTCTACTCACATCTACGATGTCTTTTTTTTATCAGTCCCTTTTTTAGGCTTCTATCACATTAGAAATTTAATCAGTTTTCCTAAATTATCAGTCTTGTTTATAAAACTGCCCATATCCTTCTTGCTTGTAAATTAACCTCTTAAAACATATTATCATTAACTGTTTAAATTTTTCATTCGCTAGAAAGACAGACACAGACAGACGGACAACCTTTATTGTCATTTTTTACTGTGGGAACACATTAAAATGAAATTCTATTGCCTGCTCTCAAAAGTGTACACACATGTAACACACATATAAATATGCTATACACAACATATGTATATACTTACACCCTTACATATAAATATTAATCACTGTCCATCTTGGAAAACATAGCGGAAAGAAGCAGCTCAACAGTTCACAAGGTTAATACTGTATGGAACAAAACTGACTAAATCTGGATGTTCTGCTTCGGATACCACAAAGCCTCCTCCCAGAAGGTAACAAGAAAACAAGTGTGAAGAGGATGTGCAGTTTCCCAGACAATCCTGCAGACCTTGCTCAAGCAACACTTATATGCTATGTCCTGGACAGAAAGAAGTGAACTGCCAATAATCTTTTCTGCCATCCTCACCACCCTCTGCACCGCCTTCCTGTCTGAAGCAGTGAGGCTTCCAAACCAGACTGTAATGCAATATGACAGGATGCTCTGGATATCCCTCTATGGAAAGTGGTAAGGACAGGGGAAGGAAGATGTACCTTTCTCATGCAATGGAGAAAATGCAGGTGCTGCTGTGCCTGCTTCACCAATGTCTCGCTGTTGAGCGACCAAGCCAGCCTACTCGTTAGCTGCACACCCAGAAATTTGATGCTGCTCACCATCTCCACAGGTGAATCATTAATAGATAGAGGGAGTGTGGCTGTGCCTGCCTTTTCTGAATATTCTCTAATACAGAAAATACAATTTCAGCTAAAACACTACGTTGTGCAGAACAAATCTGATATATTTCATAGATATTGTCTGTTTTTCCTGCTTCATTGCTACAATGAGGAGTCTTTGGTGCTCTCTGAGCTTGGTTATTTTCTTGCAGAATTTCATTACCCAAACTTGCTACAAATATTTCAGACCCTAAATGACATACATAAGAATGTTTTATTTTAGTGTCCTATGGATAGCAAAGCAGTATAACTGTTAGAATATATTAATCAATATTAGCATATTGCAAGATCCAATCTGAGTTGGTCACTGGGACCAGAGGATTATTCTTCCAAACAGTTGGATATGAGAGAGAAGTTCCCTGAGGATGTGCTCCAGCATAAGTCTGAAAGCTTGGAAGAATAAGCCTCTAGTCCTAGTGACTGACTCTTAGATCCTGCAACATTATCCTAGGTCACATATATTTGCCTTCATTTGCAATATTAGCATATGACATAAATTGGGATATTCAAACTTACAAAAAAGGACTGAACAGTCCTTTTACATGGAAACTTGTTATAGTAACACTGTTATTCATCAACATAAATTATTATGAATCCTTCAAATATGACCTCATTATCTTAAGCCAGGTTTACATAAAGCCTTTCCACAGAAGCCCATAAACTAAACCATATACTGCCGCGTAATTCAAGATTCAGCAAAAGCACAGCAACTCTTCTGTTTTACAGTAACATTTAAATGGCTTCAGCTTGAAGTCTGTTTTCCTACATTTCCCCTTAAAAAGAAGAAACATTTATTTTTCACAGAAAGGCAGCTGTAAGTTCACAGAGTGACATTCAGCCATTCTTCATAAGGGTATAAATTATACATATATACTTGAACAGACAGGAAGCTCACAGGATGTGGGTTATACTTTTAGTCACAGCAAAATAGCATTTTATGGTCAATTATAAGTACATTTGGTGTAGTGGTTAAAGAATCAAGCTAGAAACCAGGAGACCGTGGTTCTAGTCCCATTTTAGGCAAAGCCAGCTTGGGCTAGTCCAGGGGTAGGCAACCTTGGCTCTTTTATGAGTCGTGGACTTCAACTTCCAGAATTCCTGAGGCTGGCTCAGGAATTCTGGGAGTTGAAGTCCACGAGTCATAAAAGAGCCAAGGTTGCCTACCCCTGGGCTAGTCACTCTTGCTCAGCCCTAAGCAATGGCAAAACACTTCCTAAAATCTTGCCAAGGAAACTGCAGGGACTTGTCCGGACAGTCACTAGGAGTCAATACTGAGTTGAAGGAAAGCACAAAGTAAAAATGCAAAAGAAGCCCCACATATTTCAAGGGATCTTGTGCAGAAATAAAGTCTAAACTTTATTTTTAATGGAGGCCTACAGGAAAAGTTCCTGATTTCTATATTCAGTAATTTAATTTGCTAATACTTTATACTGGAAAAATTTAAAGAGATGGCAAAGAGCTTGTTTTTTTTACTATAAATTAATAGTTACTCAATTCTGCCATTTTCTACCAGTTAGCAAATACTATTTTAATATTTTCTAATTTTAACATCAGCATTTGCAGATAGCCGTGACAACCCTAACATGATGAAATGTGTAATGTCACAACACAAACCCCATACTTTTTATTTGCATCATGGTCTTACATATAAGTACATATGGAGTAGGCGTTTGTGTCACAGGCATTTTTTTCACTTGCCCATCTCTTATTTTTAATCAATAACAGGACGACCAATCTCTTTCCCCCTAGCCAAGTTTTACAAATTGGAAAAACATCCTACAATTTAATGTACCACTTGTGCATCATTTTCTACATAAGACAAATGGTGCCTTTCATTTTTTGGCTACGTTAGTATGGAGCCTTTTTTTCCATGACAAAATTCCTATTCTGCAAGACTGAGAAGGCATTGGTTCCTTTCCTTATTATGTTCCCCTATTTGTTTTGGATTGACATACCGTATCTTTCCTTATCCCACTATATGCAAGGAATTGCCTAGTGTGATTTAAAACAATATTAAACCTACTTTGCACATAATTCAAGTGTATACATTATAAATAAAAGTACAAATCAATATCACATAATAAAACAAAGTATAAAAACCGCAATTCAAGACAACATAAACATATAAATGCTGGAAGGAAAAAAAGAACTAAAAAAACAAACTCATCCAGCAAGTCTTTTACTCTCACACTCAATACTTGGGTGAAAAAAAAATCCACAGATCTTTAAAGGCAGGCAAGCTAATTGATCACGGAGGGAGGGATGCTCCTCCAAAAGGCAGGATCATTTGATTTACAGGTAGTCTTTGACTTACAACAGTTCATTTAGTGACTGTTCCAAGTTACAACAGCACTGAAAAAAGTGGCTTATGACCATTTTTCACACTTACGACCGTTGCAGCATCCCCATGGTCATATGATCAAAATTCAGACGCTTGACAACTGGTTCATATTTATGACATTTGTAATGCCTCGGGGTCATGTGATTACCTTTTATGACCTTCTGACAAGCAAAATCAATGGAGAAGCCAGATTCACTTAACCACGGTATTACTAATTTAACAACTGCAGTGAGTCACTTAACAACTATTTCAAGAAAGGTCGTAAAATGGGACAAAAGTCAAATGTTTCACTTAGCAACAGAAATTTGGGGCTCAACTGTGATCATAAATTGAGGACTACCTGCACCATATTTGCTATTAATTACGCCCCTTAATTATTACATATAGCAACCCAAATATGGTTGATTTCTAAGAACATAAAGCCAACCAATCTTCAGGAAACAAAACCCCATAAAAATATCAACCAGAGGGAAAGTGGCTGCAAAAGCTAAATAGATTTCTTAAATCCACCATGTTGTCAGTGACACCCAACAGGAATAGGAAACCATAGCAGGCGGGGGGGGGGGGGACCTGACAACCTGCAACAATGATCAGCATTTGATCCTCTTTGGGCAAAGTCCAAGAAGACTTGAAGAACCTGAAGTGTACGAGGGGAGGAGGGGGAAAAGATACTTGGAAGAAGCAGCCGTCTGAAGAACAACTTTTATAAACAGGATGTCTGCCGTACCCAACCGGAGGGGCTGTTTACAGCTACAGTATGAGAACTTATATGTAAAAGGGAAGGAAGCGGGCTCGCTTCCTTTTTCTCGTTCTTCTTTCCTTTCGCTACTAACTTATCTCACCAACATCCCCAGCCCGAGGACTCCTCCAATCACCTGGCTCTTCCTACCCCGGATCAAGCTACCGCCTTCTGAGAAGGGCCCTGCCCTCCCGCGGGAGGAGATGGTGGGGAAGCAAAATGGAGCGGAAGGGAGGGCAGGTAGGCAGGCGAATTGCCCGCGCCGCGCAGGGAAGGCGAAGGGTCTGATTAGCCTCGCTCCTGCCCCGGGGGAGGCGAGGAGGCAGTTCCAACCTTTGCCCCGGAGGGTCGGGAGAGAGAAGAGGGGGCTGCCCTCCCCGCTGCCCCTCTTCTTTCCCGGGGTCCCTCGTCCGCCCCTTTTTCCTCCCTCTGAAGGCCACCAGCTGAAACCAGGGCAAAGCCCCGCTTTCCCCTCCGCCCCCGCACTCACCACTTCAGACGTCTCCCAGATGAAAACAGGGTGCGGGCCACCCAGCCCGCTCTCACTCTCTGCCCGGCATGCCCTCTTCTCCCGCCTTGATGGCGGAGAGACGGTGGGGATTTCCAGTCGTTCTCGCAGACCCGGACCGCGTTATGTCCGAAATCGACGACGACGACGACGCCCCCGCTGGATGCCGACTGAGTCGCCCAGCGCCAGCGTTGTTCAGTCCCTACGAAGACGCCACCGCTCTCGCGCTTTGCGCATGCGCTGGGGATTGCCCAGAGCAGGCGCACTGAAGACCGCGAAGCGAAGCTCGGTTTTTTATCGGGGATATCCTATTTCTTAAAAGGATATATCTCTGTTCCAAGATTTCAACCGAAGGTGATTGTACCCGACGTCAGCCTCTGTCTTTTACCGCATCACCAGGGAGTAGCGCATTAAAAACATAAGGAAGAATTGCGACTTGGCTTATAAAATGTTTTTCAAACTGTTGCCACTGCAGCTTCTATCTTAATCAAATTCAGGATTTACCTATTTTACTATTTATTCGTTTGTTTATTTCCCGATTTTACAATTTTATATAAGTAATTCAAGGCAGCGAACATACCTAAATACTCCTTCCTCCGTTTTTCCCATTAAAAACAGTCCTGTAATGTAGGTTGGACTGAGAGTGACTGATTCAAAGTCACTCGACTTTCATACCTAAGGAGGAACTAGAATTCACAACCTCCTGGTTTCTAGCCTGATGCCTTAATTACTGCACCAAGCTCATTGTTAACTTATTAATTACATATTCTTTTTCAGTATGTGCCTTTTGAGTCAATGTTGATTAATGCAAAATGCTTGGATAAATCATTGCCATTTTCTCGGCAAGATTTTCAGATGTTGTCATTGGCTCAATCCTGAGGCTGAGAAAACGTGACTGGCCCAAAGTCAGCCAGGTGGCTTTCATGCCTAAGAGGGGAGGGGGGAGCTAGAACTCAGGCTCCTGGTTTCTAACCTGGTGCCTATTCTATTCTGGATGCCAGAAGCACTAGGCAGCATCTTGCAATGAATAGACCTATGGGATTATATAAACCAAGAAAGAGTTTCTTAAAAATGTATGCCTGGAAGTCCCCAAGACCCTCTCAGGAGTCCTTAAAATCAAAATTATTTGTTAGCCGATGTTGAAAAATAATACAATATTAAAATCCCATCAAACATTGTAAAAAGCAATAGCAGCAGTTAATGCATCAATTTTGTAAGCTGCCCAGAGCTGTGTTTAACATGGGCAGCCATACAAATCTTTTAAATAAATTTAATTTTTAATACAGTAAATATAAATAAACATAACGTATACAAACAAGCTCTCTTAAGAATCAGTTTGATTTAGTGGTTAAGGCATCAGGCTAGAAACCTGAATTCTAATCCTATTTTAAAGGAATAGAATAGAATAGAATAGAATAGAATAGAATAGAATAGAATAGAATAGAATAGAATAGAATAGACTTTGGAGGTCTTCTAGCCCAATCCCCTGCTTAAGCAGGAGATCTTATACCATTTCAGACAAATGGCACTGCAATCTCATCTTAAAAACCTGTAATGATGGATCACCCATAACTTCTGAAGGCAAGCCATTCCATTGACTAATTGTTCTCACTGTCAGGAAATTTCTCCTTAATTCTAAGTTGGAGCTATCCATAAATTTCCATCCATTGCTTCTGGGAAAAGCGTGTGTGTGGGGGAGCGTTGGTGAGCCCAGGGAAGCTTGTAACACTGATAGAGGAGAAACAGATGCCCCCAGGGTGGAGAATGAAAACAAAAGGGGAGGAGGGTCAGTGCTATGGAAGGAAATAAGGATAAAGGGGTGGTGGAGGAGATGAATACCAGTAATGAGATAGTGGAAGGAATGATCCGGAAGAACCATAGAAGGAAGCGTAAGGAGAGTAATAAAGAAACATCTGGAACACTAATTAACCGGCCGGGACCAGGTGACGCGGTCCATGAGCCGGGTGCAGATGCCGGCAAAACCCATTTAAGTCATCATTGTTTACTGGCTCCTTAGCCCTGATGATGTTTGGAGTTTCCAAACGAAAGCTTGGCAGCTTTTAGTAAAGTATATTTTTATATTTATACTCTCCTGGTGTTCGTATTTTATTTGTACCATATATATATATATGTATGTAGGTCTTTCTCCTCGAAGCACGAAGCTGAAAGCACCAGCCTGAAGATGACGAAGTCTCATTCATCATGTTCAGACTGGTGTTTTCGGCTTCATGCTTCTAGGAACAATACACAGGAGGATTAGGGGGGAGGGGGACAATCACCATTGGCAAGTAAAGGGAAAAGAACTTCCTCTGGTCCCGGAATCAATGAGGAGAACACTTACAGCAGAGCATGGAGGAGGCATGGGAAAACACCATGCATTGATGTAGGTGGTGTATCTGAGATACGGCACAATCAGCTGGGTCCAATAACACGTTCTAGAAGTCGGATACAGGCTACTAACATCGTATAAAAGCTCCTTCCCAGTGATTACTTTTAGAAACCCTGACGATGTTGGGTGGTCCCAACAAAAGCTTGGTTCATTAAAATTTTTTACTAGTTTCCCTCTTGGTGATCGATATTTATTGACTATATAATAAGAACAAACAAACACGAACACCAGGAAAATTTTTTAAACTAAAAACGTTTAATCTAATGCCAAGCATCAATTAACATCAAGAATACAACCAACATGCAGCCCAATCAAGTAGGACTGATGACAAGGTCCAGGAGCCGTGTGCAAAAACTGACTAGCACTATAAAGGAGACTCCTATCGACCGGTTTTAAGCCCTGATGATGTCGGCAGTTGGCCGACGAAAGCTTGGCATTAGATTAAACATTTTTAGTTTAAAAATTTTTCCTAGTGTTCGTGTTAGTTTGTTCTTATAATATGACTATACCCAGGATTCGTGTTTTTAATGAAATTAGCAATACACACACACACATATAGAGATATATATAGATATGTGTATGTATGTATGTATATTTTGATGGCAACCATCAGGATTATGTGGCTTGGAGCCAGCATCTGGAGGACGGTGCATTGGCCACTCTATACAGTTGTAGGTATCAGCTCACCTGCTGCTGAAATAGATCAGACATGTCAAACTTGCAACATCATGTGACGGCGCACAACATATCGGAAGAGTTTTGCCATTGCCGGAAATGGGGTGGGCGCAGCTTCCGCATGACATGTCCGGCCTGTGGGCTGGCAGCTTGACACCCCTGACTTAGATAATGGTTCTCAGGAGCAGCAGGAGTCAACTAGATGTTTTGAAAAGTGACAAAGGATTAGCCTTAGGTGAACTCCAAGAAATTGCCAGTATACCACACATATGTACAAAACAGATTTAAAAAAAAACATACACCAACCTGTTAATTAAAATGTGAAGAATGAAAGTAATATGGATATACAATTCCTCTGTAAGTAATTACCATCAATTACAGTGAAAGTGCTCCTTTTATTAAAATTTGTTTAACTTACCATGTAAATAATTTGTTTTAAAAACAATAGAAGAGCAGAAAAAATGGTTTGTATAATGTACATACATTAATATTCCATGTGAACTCTTTTATTTTATGAAAGACCATCTAATTCATTTTCTCATTAAGCCCAATTCATTTTGATAGTTTTTCTCAAGACATCCATCATGAATATAATCTGAAATTCAGGACAGAGATAGCCATTCAAAAGGTCTTTCCCCCTCTTTCTTCTTAAGAAACTTCTCTTGATTAAATCACAGGGCAGGTAGATTCAGTTCAAAGGAGACAATTGTGCAAATCTCCAGGAATCAATTATCAGAGACTTTGAATAGTGGCACCCAATGCAAAATCTTGTTCTGTGTTATCTGCAGTTTTCCAGAAGTCTTCAAAGGCAACCCCAAGTAAAGAGAGTTACACAGATAATTTGTGACACCTTTTCAGAAATTTGTTCCCAATCCTCTGATCATCCCCACTGTTCTTCTTTGTAGCCATTCCTAACCTTTATTAAAATGTAATAGATGTATTGGATGTAATAGATGTATTGGATTCAGAACTAAGCCATCTGTTATTGCTTGTTTTTAGGCTTCAAAAGTCTACTCTAGATTGATAGCAATCTGCTCCATACTTGATGTTTTCTGAATTCTATGGCAATTCTGTCTAGCAATTCTGGTACTTGTCCTACATAGCTGGAAAATGTACTGTAATTGTAATGGTTCATTCGGTGTGCTGCTAGATTTGTTTTATGTTTTGACAATAATAGCAGGTGGCTATCATGCAAAATCATGAGGATTCAAGCCATGGGTCAATTTTAGAGGGTGTTATTTTTTCTAATATTGTATCTTCATTGCTTTGTGGAAGCAAATGTGATCTAAGTTTTCAATGTGATTTCAGAGCGAATTTACAGGAAACCATGAGGATCTATACCCACCATAGCAGCATCAAAAATAAAATCTGTAAATAGTAAGAAATACTCATATTTCATAGCTTTGCAGACAAATATGGTCTGTCTTTGATAATAACACTATGGGCTCCCACACAAAATGCAAAACTCTGTGTCTTGATTCTGGTTCCACTTTTTATCCCAGAGCAGCACCCAAAATAGTTCGAACTATGACGGTAATGGTTTTCTAGTGATTTTTTTTGCATATTGGATGTGATTTGCAACGGGATTGTGCTTTTAGGCGGCCCCCCATATAAAAATCGTGGGAGATACACGCATTTTTAAAAATCCTAACATTTGCTTCTTGCTAGCTGTTTACTGCTTTGCCGCAGCCTTCGTCTTCACAAACTGCTGTTGGAACGAAACAAGGCACATGCCAGGACCCAGTAGCTACCCCAGTCTGCAGGAGAAGGGTGGAGTCTTACAGCACCCAGCGTGTCGTGTACAGATGCGTCACTGCCAGAAAATGGAAAGTGGGCGGGAGTATCTGCTAAGTAGAAAAGGGGTTTTACCGAAAGTAGGATCCTTTTGGCTGGGTTCAAATGTGATATCTTGGAATTCCCATCAGATATCGATTTGGTTTTGAGATGAGCAGATCAAGTTTCATGCATACCAATGACATTCTCGCTCTGCAATTCTTTTGCCGGGTTTCAGCAGAGAGGCGATCAATCCAGGGCTGATAACTTTCGCCAAGATCTAACCCTGCAATCGTCTCGGGGGAGGGGGGGGCGGAAGAGGAAAATTACTCACGGCTCTTCCAGGAAAATAAAAGTTATAGGAATAATGATGCAGAAGAAAACTTCGGCGAACGAACGAGAATCCCTGTACAGCCTGTTAGTTATCCTTCAGTGGAAATCAAAAGGAGGAGTGTAATAAACATTGAAAGAAAAATGAAGAAAAACATAATTGGAAAACATGTTTTAAAATTAATAAATATTGAACAAGTGGGACTGGGCAGGGTAGCTGGTGATGATTTAGATGAAAAAGATTATATTGTATTTCTCCTTAGGAAAATCATCAATCAATTGTTTATAAAGCGGGCTTATTATTCTCCTCCCTTCCTTTATGATCATAATTTATGGCCAA